ACTGATGTTTTTATTATTATAAAATACATGTAATAATGCTCGTCGCAAAGCGAAGTGAGGGCAGCAAGTATCCGACGCCAAATATTTCAGGTTAAAATTTCCTTCTCATTGGTAGAGTTATTTTCTCCGTCTCCAAAATGAGTAATCCGTTAGTATATCTGACCTGGGTAGATTGAAGTTCTTGGTGTCGTTTTTTTTATGAAGGATACTGTTTTTTTTTAATTATTTATTTTAATTTTATTTTTTTATTATTTTATTTATTTTTACTTTTTAGATTTATTTTTTTATTTATTTTATTTTTTATTTTTATTTTGTATTTTTTTATTTTGTTTTTACTATTTAATTCTTAATTCTTATTTTTGACTATTAATTCTTAATTTTTCCGGTGAACGAACGTGGCAAATAGTCTAAAGGAATAAATCTATGGATAAAACTAATTATCGGAACGGTTATAGGCGCGGAATCGCTATCTTAGATTCCAGTCTTCGCCACTGAAGAATGAATTAATTCATTTCTTCGTCACTCAGCTGCTAATTATCGGAGCAGACACGTCTTTATTGACTTTGGTAACACAGACAATTCTGAATTCTTAATACCAGATTAAAAAAAAAAAACAATTTTTAAATTAAACCAAGGATAGTGCGACTGAAAAAACTGTAATATATTTTATGTAACAGTGAATGATGGATAATCATGATAGTCTCACCATGAAGCCATATGACTTTTTTTTTTAATTTTTAAATGAATAAAATACAGATAGTTTATCAACTCAAATAATTACAATAATATTGTTGTATCATTAAAGAGTTTACAAACAAACAAAGGTGGTACTCGAGTGAAGGAACAGCATCACGCGCGTAGATGAAAGAAAGAGAGGTTCATTTTAAAAGTGACGACTCTACTGAAAGACAGGGAATCGGGTGGCATACCAGTAATTCTCGAATGCATGATATCTACTAACCGCCCCACGCGTTCAGATGCTGACGATTGCGTCTAGCATGAAACAGCCTGCCGCCTCTGTATGTTGACTTCAATGTTCACTTTTATATTTATATTTACATACGTTCTATCTCTGATATTGAGCACTTTATCCCATAAATATAGTACACCTTAAAACTATATTTCTTCACACACACACACATATATATATATGTGTGTGTGTGTGTGTGTGTGTGTGTGTGTGTGTGTGTGTGTGTGTAATTTATTGGATGACATAGCCGTATAAAAATCAGTTTGAAGACAATGTTATGTCATTCAGCTATTCACTTTTGTGATATTAATGCGTGTTAGTATATCATGGATATGCTAAGGCCTGTAATGGAGCAAATAGAAATAAGCTCTATTTCCTATCATCCTCATTACTAAGACATTAGGGTATTTTTTTTTAACTTCAAGCAAGAAAGGAAAGCCTATTATCCATCGGATTAGAGGGAGTGAAAGTGAAAGAGGAGACTGAGAATAGGGATGACTGAGGAAATGACAAGAATTGGGTTCAAGAAGATAAAAGATGGCGATTGATGTTGTATTTAAATTTTTGTAGATTGTAGTTATAATAGAAGCAAGTAAATAGAAAGGAGTTCAATAGGCTAGAAGTGCGAGAAGAGAGAGTATTGCAGTTGAAGTGGCTGTTGCATTTTGCTATTTCAACAGTAAACGGGTGTGATCTAGATGCCACTATAGTACCATGCTTAAATTCATGTATTCGAGACACCAGGCAAAAGGGCTTGGCAGGGTAGTTGCCATGAAAATATTAGTAGAAAAAAACAGAATCACGCCAAGTCTGTGACTGAAGTCGTAATATATGGTTTGGTTCGATTACACTGAGTATCCTTCGGCAACAACATTCAAAGCAAACAACAAGTGATAGATTTGTAGATGCACAATATGGATTCTGACGAGAAAAGTTTTCAGTTACGACACAGTGAGCCAAACATCTTTGGAGTAGCTGCAGCTATCTATATCATCGCGCCATTTCATGTCAGTGAAAAACATAAGGCTACGAAGGGGTAGTGAGTTGCTCTCCTAGAGTCTAGGATCAGCCATGCTGATGACAGACAGAAAAGGTTCTCAGTGTGTGTATAATATTGAAGTGCATGCTGTGAGTGTTTGTGATAATAAAACAGTGTTTGATGTTAAATAACAGAGAGAAAACGTGCGCTAAGAATGAGTATACATTGGTTCCTCAATCTTTAGCAAAACACTGGGATTCATGAGCGTAGCATGATTCATGTGTTAAGATTGCCATGTATAAGAAACTCAGAAATGCATAACAGTTTGATTGAATATATATATATATATATATATATATATATATATATATATATATATATATATATATATATAATAAAAAAAAACTTAAACACTAATATTCCATGGTCATAATTTATTCCATTGGAATCGTAAATACGATCAAATCATCAGACCTTTGGATCGTATTTACGATTCAATGGAATAAATGTAAACCAGTGTTTAAGCTATTATGTCCTGTCCTGAACATTGAGTTCTACCTGGATCCTTCCTCTTGGAAAAATTTTTTCTGAAAATATACATGTATGGAAATTTTTAGATATATTTTTCATATGTATGTATATTTTCCACTAATATATATATATATATATATATATATATATATATATATATTTCCATTGGATGATATAGTCATATTATGCCTATCTTTATAATAATCCTTTCTAGTTTGCTGATTACTTTCCTGATGTTAAGTTGAAATACATCAATTCCTTGATGAATTTCGACTTAACATCAAGAATCTAATTAGAGAACTGGAAAGCATTATTATAGAAATAAAAATAAGTTTAATGTATCTGTATTATTCAATGAAACATGTTTGTATGAAAATAAGATGCCTGTGCACACAAAAGATATGCGTACTTACATATATATATATATATATATATATATATATATATATATATATATATATATACACTATTACTGCTAATAATGAAAGACTCTCCCAAGCGAATGAGTTATCTAGGTCACTGGTGTGTTTATGAAAAAAATACATCTAAACATTAATAAAAACAATATGTGAAGTCCCAAGGAGAAATAATTTACTTATTAAAAACGTGATCTGATATTCTCACGTGTACCCCTCCACACACACGGACACACATGTTGGGGTACTCCTCTTTGTCTGTTCATTGTTCCTGACTATTTCACGAGGATACAGTTTTGTAAAAAAAAATGTTAACATGTAAGTAAATGAAAGTCATAATGGAAAACTTTCCGCGTAAATCATTCTTTGGAAGGACTTCATCGATCTAAAGTAAATGATTTCGTTTGTGCATATTACATATGTGTCGGAAGGAGAGGATGTGATATAAAAAAAAACGAGCTTCGGTAATAATTATTCACCGATTTGAAAGCCGAAATCTCCAACTTTCAGGGCAAGTAGTTCAGGAGATTTCATTCAGTTTATGCTTTTTTTTTATAACTTCTTTTATTACGTACAACACATTGTGACAGTAGATTATCAGACAAGTAAGGTGAAAACCTGGATGCAAAATTTACTGTGGATGATCTAGCAATCAAAATACTTACTATAATATGTTGACATAATATGAAATTTTATATTCAGATATAATTTATATTGACAACCTTTATATGCTACTACATTACAGATGTTACCCTTGTTAATCAGGATCCTATAATTAAAACCCTGAGATCAAATTAAAAATGGCAGAGCAATGTTTCTAAATATAATTTTAAAAATACACCGTGTTCTTTTACAAAACGGAATATTTATCGAAAGTGACCGCCTACTCGAGTACCTTGTTTACGCTTCTTTTAATATTTTGAATTTTATAGAAGTTGCTTTTTTGTGAAGTTTTGTATATCTGTATCTAAATCTATATGAGAAAATCTACTGAGACAGATTCCCATATGCCTCAGATAAGAAAGTACGTTTGGAATTTTCTGTAAGATTCGATCAAGCAAACATAACATCGGAGCATACAAAATAATTCAAAGAAAGAAAGATAGAAACAAATGAAAAAAGGAAGAATATAAAAAATAATCATAAGTAGAATAATGTAGAAGAAAGAAAGAAAGAAAGAAAGATAGAAAGAAAGAAAATATAAATATAACCGTTGAGAACAAAAGATTAAAAAGAAATTCATAGAAAAAGAAAGAAAGAATATTGAAAGAATGTAAGAAAGAAAGAAAGAAAGAAAGAACATAGAAAGAAAGTAAGAAAGAATGAATGAATGAAAGAATATATAAATATAGCAATGGAAAACAAAAGATAAATAAAAAAGAAAGAAATTCATAGTAAAAGAACGAATATTGAAGGATAGTACGAAAGAAAGAAAGAAAGAAAAAGAACATAGGAAGAAAAAAATAAATAAAGAAAGAAAGAAAGAAAGAAAGAAATAAAGAAATAAAAGAAAGAAAGAAAGAAAGAAAGAAAATATAAATATAACAATGGATAACAAAAGTTAAATAAAAATAAACAAAGATAGAGAAAAAAAAGAACGTAGGATGATATTAAGAAAGAATGAATGAAAGGGAGAAAATGAAAGAGAGAGAAAGAGAAAAATCTAAAGACAGAGGAAAAAAAGGTAAGAAATTAGAATTCAATACATTGCACACCCCAAAAGATAAAAGACAGCCAACGTAGAACAAACAGAATATAATTTAAAAGAAATAGAATTGCAAACAAGTATACAGAAAACAAGATCTTAGAAATGGAAACAAAATCGATTGACTGATTTGTTTTTACGGCTTATCAAACATTTGCAGGGTATTTAAAGACAGAAAATATGTTTAGAATATAAGATACTTTTGGAAATATTGTTTTTCTATTGATACTAGTTCTAATAGGTAACCCATAGTTTGAAGGAGAATAGGCGGATTCATACATTTCGCCACGGTATTTTCACGTAAGTGAATATAACGAACCCAACTGAAATTCGAACTCGGGTCTACGATTTCCAGTTTTGAGCCGCTAGCCCTTAAACCACCCGCGCATCCAAGTTAGAGTACCTGATTTCCCAATGGTTAACCCATCGATGCACTAACCGGGCTCAACGTTGCTTAACTTCGGTGATCTTACGAGAACAGTTGTTTCAACGTTATATGGCGGCAAGCCTCACAAAATCGATTATGTTGACAATATGCGATCAGGGGAAAATTTATAAAATTCAAGATTTTAGTATGAATCATGCGTAAATACCTGCCAAGGAATGTTGTTGTTAGTTACTGGGCTACCCGTGGAAACTATATTCTCTGAGTAAACCCAAATCCCTATTTAATTCTTTAATATGTGATTCTATTTTGAAAATGTATTTTAACTCTGATCTGCTTCTTTCTTGTCGGCTCTTAAATGAAGACGCTAAAAGCACGGATCGGATGAAATGAATGCTATAGAATGATTGGTTGACGTGTGCAGCGACATGAAAATTGTTGTTGTTGTCTTTGATGTTTTTATGGTTATTTTATTGAAATATATATATATATATATATATATATATATATATATATATATATATATATATATATATACAGTGCTATTCGATAAAAGTGACTCACCTTATCGATTGAATTTAGCTTAACTTTCGTTTCATCGGAGAAGAGAACATTCTTCTAGTCTTCTATGGTGAATTTTTTGTAATAGTGTGCTCATTCAAGGCTCTTGGCTTTGTTGGCTTTTCTTATTAGCGGCTTCAACCTTCGTGTACAAGACTTGTAGCCTTGTTCTAACAAGGTTTGTAACCTTGTTCTGACGGACTGTTGAAGCAGCAAGACTAACACCTTGTTCTTCGCTTAGACTGGCTGCAATTTCATGGCTAGTCATAGTCCTATTCTTTGCAACTTCTCCCTTGATTTACGCTGCCAGTTCTACCATCAATCTTTTTCTTTTGTCCCCTTGTTGCCTTCCTTGGAGCAGGAATGGCATCATTATGTGCCCTATGCACTCAAGAGACAGTTGATTGCGAGGTTATAGCAATTTCTGCAATTTCTCTCGTAAACTTGCCTGCTTTTGAGAGGGCAATAATAGATGCCTTAAGTGGTTCTGATGCGTGTTTGTACACTTTCATCTGGCTATGGACTTGAGTGGCTATTTCAAGCTGTTTTGTATACTGTATGAGGCTTTCTGGAATATTCTAGAATACTCTATATTTAATTTAAGCTGTTCTAGAATTCTCTAGAATGTTGTTCTGAGTGTATTGTAAAGTAATTTTCAATATTTTGTAAAAAAACTCTTTAAATTACCAGTTTAATCATTAGAATGCGATATCTGAGTCACTTCTTTTGCACATAGTTGTTTTCCTGAATCTCAATTGTTTCCAAATTTATAATTATCAATAGAACACCTTAGGGTGAATATGCGTTTTTCCTAGGTAGTCGAGAAGGGGTCTTTATATTAGTAAGATTAAAAATTATTTTAACCCCAAAAACAATAGACAAAAAATATTTTTAGTAAAAAAAATAGCTGAGTCACTTTTATCGAACAGCACTGTATATATATATATATATATATATATATATATATATATATATATATATATTATATATATATATATTACAAATTTTTCATTACTGGATATTCGTAATTGACTAGGCGCTCAGTTTATCTATTAACCCGTATATCTGTTTATTTTTCTCTACCGGCCTGAACATGCGAGAGATCTTATTGGACAGAAATATGCATACTCCGACAGGATTAGAACATGACAGTTTCGTGTTGTAACATAAAATTAATAAGTAAACGGAACGTCCACTTAAATCTAAGTATGCACTAAAAATAACGTTTAAATAATAAAAAATATATCTGAGCAATAAATAAAACTGCTGATTTGTTTTACAAATTAGCATAGAAAACTGAGCAGATATGTCTATTTGAAAAGCTGTATAAAAATATGTGTTTAAAGGCACTATTCAACTATCTTCCGTTTTCGAAGCACTTTGTAGCCGAATGGTCATTGCTCGTTGGATCGGTTTTCTAGGGGAACGCAGGTTCGACTCCTGACGAAGAGCGCATGTTTTTCTCATTTCGAAAGGGAGGAAGAAGCTAGCTGTCTGGATGATGGTGTATCTAAAAGTGACATATGTATTTGTTCTTCATCTGTGGAACTAAAATTTCTTTACTTTTTCATTTACTTTATCTATAAAAATTCTTATTTTTCCTTCTATTTCTCGCCAGCAGTTTCCTTCTCCCTTAAAACATATTTGTTTCTCATATTATCTGTTCAAATATTTTCCGTTCTTATCAGTAGACACATAGATACCTTTCATCGCAACGATTAGAAGGTTTTGGTGCAACGCTATATCTTTACTTTTAAACCTGGACAAGAAAGATATAACATAGGATGCAACTGATAAATTGTCGTCTAAATAAGGCAAAACTGAAAATAATACTGACATCTTATTTTAACAGGTACAGTTACCAAAATTACACCAACATATCTTGAAATACTAAAGAGTGCATTTATTCAATAGAATCGCCATTGGCTTCAACCTCAGACTTCAAACAACTTCGGAATCTTCTGAATTTCTACTGGACAGTCTCTTTGTTTAAGTTGTTTAATGCTGCCATAATAATTGCCTTCAGTTCATCTTTGGTGTTACAAGGAATTGTGTTAATCTCTCGCTCAACTGCGCTCGCTACACACAATAATCAAGGGGGTTGCAGACTGGGGAGTTAGCTGACTAGGTGTAAGGGGTGATGTGGTAGCAAAAATTATCTGACAGCCATGACAGGGTTCTCCTGCTTGTGTGACATGGTGCAATATCCTGCTGTCAGCAGCCACAGTCTTGAAGCAGGGCAGCACTACCACCTCAAGGCACTTGATGTAGGATTCCGTTTTGAGTTACCAAAAAATTTGAGATTTCTTTTCTCACCATTATGATCAAAGTGAGTTTTCTTTACTGCCGTAACTTCGTAATCACCGTTAGAATTCTACATCTCTTTCCGAATCCTCTGCAATGTCCTAAGATTCGTAATGTAGCTTCCGGGAAAATACCAAGCAGTACGGCATGCCGTTTCCAAATTTAACGCAGAGTGAATTGTGCCATAGTACTCTTTTTCTCACAGACGTTACCCAACTAAACTGTGCAGTCGACAACATCAAAAACAAACAACGCGCATGCGTGAAATTAAAAATATAAACTGGCGACAATTTATCCATCTTACCCTGTTTATAGTTTGTATTTTACATAATAATTCTTCAGTGGAAAACTACCAGATGTAATCCCTTTGTATTTATTTTCGTTAATAATTCTTATGACAAAGCTACTATGCATAACGACGTTATTGGGAAATTTATTTTTTTTAATAATTTCACTCCAAACAAGGCAGCAAAGCCACTAACACATAACTAATGTCACTTAGTATTGAAGAATATAAAAAACATTATTATGAAGCGAGAACAATACCCGAACAGAAATTAATAAGACAGAAGATAACGATTTATATTACATTTAATGGTTTAAGTTACAACTTGACTAGTTGATTAGAATGCAAGGAAGCAGAAGAGACTTTCAGAAGCGAGATGTGAGAAAAGCAAACACAGAACCTGCGGTTAAAACCTTTCATTTTTTTATTTAACTTCATATAAATGGTGTTCCGATAACCGACTTTAAATGTAAATTAAGTTTAAGCGTCTAATGATTCTTTTCTTTTTCTTTCATATTTGGCGGACATTTGGGCGATATTAATTTTCACACATAACTGTCATGACTTAAATAACATGATCACCAATAACATTGATTTATTTACTGCTGTCTTTTATTGGTCTTAATGAAACAACCTTATATATAATACTTCTTAATGAAACACCCTTATATATAATCCGTCTTAATGAAACACCCTTATATATAATCCGTCAATGAATCATCCTTTATTATTTGAATTAATAAGTAAACTTAATTATATTATTGGAACATTATATCGTTTATACACATATTAATGGCATTGATTTTACACTCATAAATCAGTTATTCCTTGATAGATAATTGTTATGGTCCAGGTTAGGACCAAGGAAGAACAAACACGAACGCAAGAGTAGAAATAACGAAGGTATATTACACGAAATAATAATACAAGAAGTGGAAGGTGTTAGTATAACTGTCAGTCTGGTTTGGAGTGAACTACTATCGGCTCGACTCGATTTGATATTTACTTGACACCCCCCACGAGGGAAAGATGTGGCACAAGGCAGAGTTTTACGTGGGTTTTCCGAGCCTGTAAGCTCGGTCAAAAATGCCCGTAGAACCCGTATAAACGGGATTGGGTTGGTCAACCTCCCCGAACAAAACTCTGCCCTTCGGCGGAGCCACGTCCTGGTTCCTCTCTGCTCAGAGGCAGAGGGTTCGACCGTCAAGATCGATCTAGCTCGAGGGTCGATTCGGTATCTGGGTTTCCCGAGCCACCCCCCGTACCCGTATAAACGGGGTTGCATGCGACACAACGGTCATTTTTCGGCGGATCGTGGGTTTCCTGAGCCGACCGTCAAGTCGAGAAGCTCGGCCAATCTAGCCACCCCACGAGGGTTGCATGCGACACAAGGTCATTTTTATCGTATTTCTCGTAAAAAATATGCCCGTAGATCGAGGTCAGGGTCATTCACCCCGAACGAGATTCTTCCCCTTCGGTTCCTTTCTGGAAAAGCCTCGTCAAGTCGAAAAGGTTCCTTTCACGAGGGTTGCTAAAAAGACACAAGGTTCGACCGTCAAGTCTCGTAAAAACGAGATCGGTAGGTCATTCACCCCAGACGAGATTCTGCCCTTCGGCGGAACCCGTCTCTTTCTGCTGAAAAGCAGAGAGTTCGACCGTCAAGTCGAGAAAGATCGTATTCGACCCTATACATAGTGTTAGGAAGAGTTCATTTTGTAGTTATAGGTAACGACCCATGACACTAATAAAGACTCCGTGTGACGGACGGTTTTGGATTTCTACTTTGGTTTCCTACATGTAGGAGACATTCACTATGATAATAAGAAAATATTAAACTTTAAATGTATACAATCTTTCGGGGGTTATTGTCAATTCATGCTTACAATTTGAGTAGCAGTAGTAGTATCAAGCCAAATGATTTAACACCAGTCGTAACAAGTGGCTTTTGAATAAAAAGAAACTCATTGGA